TTTTGTGAATGAAGAAGCAAAACTGTATAGAGGTTTAACTGACTTACTCAATTAACAAGTCGATGGACTGGCCTGAGGTCACACAAACAGTAATGTGCAGAACTGGGATTTGAACTAAACTCCCATGACTCTAAATCCAGCTAATATTACTGCTCTCCCTTCATTCCAAGTATTATTATTTTTTCTTGTTATTATTATTATTGTTTGGTTGTACATTTTATATCATATTTACATTAGGTTATATAATTATATGATACACAATTAGTATTTTATAAATGATAACTATGATAAGATTAATTATCTCTTTAGTAAAATAAGCATTTCTATAGTTTTTACTATGTGCCAGAATCTGTGCTAGATAAGTTACAAATATGCTTTTCTTTTATCCTCATAACAAACCTCAGAAGTAGGTATAGTTATTGTCAATATATTATAGTAGAAGAAATGGAGACAAATGGAGACAAATAGTTAATTGACTTGTTCAAGATTACACACTACTAAGTGTCTGATGCTAGATTTTGAGGTCTTCCTGACTCTAGACCCAGTACTAAGTCAATTATCAAAGTTGTCTGGTTCTTAAAAGAGGAAAACAAAAAAGCCCAAAACAATAAAATAGTCAGTTCACAAAAGGAAGACACCTCTCCCTCTGATTTATGATCTGAGCATTACTTATTATATGTGAAGAAATGAAAGCATTGATAGACAAGTACCTTAGAGCTATGTACAGAATCACAGAACTCCATCCTTAAATTTTGCTACCATGACTTCATTTTCTGGAGAGTCAAGTTATTTCTTTGGAGTGATCATGAATCTCATTAAGGAATGCTTTGTATCATGTTAGGACATTTGATGCATTTATCACTACAGTAGTCACAAATAGAAGAATCTGAAGGAGTTCATCATTTATGACATCCTTCTTTCATTTGGACCATATGTAAGATATTTTCCATGATAGTGGAAAATATCTTTGGTGAACATATGACTTTTCTGTTATTAACAACCAGATGATCACAAAACAATTATCTTTGTGGTTGCATTTATCAAGGAATCTTATATGATCTTATCATAAACATCACGTGAGACTTGTTGCTGGCAGACAGCCTAGAAGACTTAATTTTGCCCTGCTATACCAAATGCTACTTTGCAATAAAAAAAAAACAACGAACAGAGAGGGATTTTGTATTCTCTGCACCTTTCAATCGTCAGTTGTGTGACTGTTGGGAAGTTTTCCCCTACATTGTGCCTAAATCTATCTCTTTTCATCACTCCCCTACTGACAGAGCTTCTGCCCTGTAGGGCCAAGCAGAAAAAGTCTAAACTGTTTTCTAGAGGACAGTTTGCAGTGCAGAATGATTTCAAAAGCTTTCCCATGTTTTCGTCAAGGATAACTTGAATAAGCACATAGGGTCATTCTCATAAAGATTTTTATGAAGAACAAGTATACATATATGTATATATATTTAGTTCTTTATGTCTTTTTGGTTGCCTTTTCTGAGGGAGAGTGCTAAATTTTTCCCCCATTCTCCAAGAAGTTTCTCATAAAATGATCCCCAGTAGCTTCCAAGTTTGTGCTACCTTTAGCGAGTTTGCACTTGGTCTGGTCCAATTGCTCTTCCCAGCCTAATTTTCCTAAGTGCCCTTTCTACTTTGTAAATACATTAAAGACCAATCATTCAAAAGAGAATATACTAATAATCCGCATAGGAAAAACTAAGTAGATGAAAATCAACCTTTTCCCAAGGCTAGTCCATTGATCAAATAAACACAGAACCTGCACACACACACACACACACACACACACACACTGAATTAAAAAATATTTATTAATTACTTACTTGGAAACTTTGAATTTCCAAGGAATCAAAGTGGCTAGTATTCCCAAAAGCAATGGAGAGATGCATGGGAAAACACTTGAGGAGTGTGTTGGGCTGGGGATGGGGAAGAGATATATTCCTACTATCTATCACTGTAGATCCCAAGCCCTCACCTGGTTGCTTTCCATATACACAAAATCAGTCAGTCACAGTGATACCATTGACTCTTAAGCATGAATCAATAACTAAATAATTAGGCAAAACTTAGGATAATCATAACAATTATCCATTAAAAGGTAAAAGCAAAAATAATCATAATAACTATATTTAAAGGGCCAAAGGAGGAAAGATCATAGCATTCACTCAAGAGAGGCAAAGGCTGGAATAATGAAAACATAACAGTCCACCTATAAACCTGAGTCACACTCTCTCACCAATACAATGCACTGAGATGCAAATCATGTCAGCTTTTGATCAGTTCCTGTTAACCCTGATGCACACAATAGGGAAATCAATGTGCCGCTGGCAACTCACAATTCTGGATGGCAGACCTTGATGCCCTGAGTCTTTTTGAAGAATAGTCAACACAACCCTATCACTTGTTGGGCAAAACCACCTTCCTGCTAACTCTTCCCCACTTGATCTTCACAGATGTCCTGTTGAACAAAGCTGATCCTTTGCTACTCTCAGGCAGTCGAAGCAGTGGCAAACTCTTTAACACAAAGCCATCCTTACCAGGATACTGAGAAACTGTTACAATTTTTCAGTGACCAGCGCTCTTTTAGGCCTGAAGAGAACTGCCAAGTTCTCTAAGATCTGTTCTGAGGAGTTTCTCGGTATCACCTATATGGTGATAAGGCCACACAGCTTTCCCCCAGACTACTCCTCAAATGGGGAAGGATTCTATTTTGTTCAATCAGTTCTCAGCCAATCCACACCTCTCCTCCCAGCAAAGCAGATGCAAAACCTGTCTTTCCCCCTCTGTTTTTCCCTCTCAGAGATGGAAATAAATGGCAACACAAACTCTGAAAATCTACAAGCTTGTAGATGGCACTAGAGGGCAATCCTGACTTCCTCTAGCCAATTAGATCCCATTAAAGCCATGCCTCTTTTCCAGTCTAAAGGGTTCCCAACCAAACAATTGCTAACCTATTAGCTCCTATATTCCGAATCCTGTGCCTTCTGTACCTGATTCCTCCAGAGCTCTGCCTTCTCTCCTGTTTCTAGCTTCATCAGTCATGTCCCACCCTATTCTTCTTCTCTGGCTCCTAACACTTCAAATTTTGTTATTGTTTAGTTTTGAGTTGTGTCTAACTCTTTTTGACCCCATTTGGAACTTTCTTGGCAAAGATAGTGGAGTGGTTTTCCAATTCCTTCTCCAGCTCATTTTACAGATGAGGAAACTGAGGCAAACAGCGTTAAGTGACTTGCCCATGGTCATACAGCTAGGAAGTGTCTGAGGTCAGATTTGAGCTCAGGCCTTCCTGAATCCAGGTCCGGTGCTTTACCCACTGCACCACCGAGCTGTCCTATATACATATATTATCCATCTACACACAATCTTATCTCATTATTTATCATCTCTCAGTTATAATTCTCAAAACACTGAAAAGAATCACATGTGAATGGAATGATGATAAACAAAAATAGCTAACACCTATATAACACTTATTATATGCCAGATAATATACTAGGCACTTAATAATTATTGTATCATTTGAGCCTCACCACTACCTTGGGAGGTAGGTGCTATTTTTATTCCCATTTTGCAGATGAGGAAACTGAGACAAACAGAGGTTACATGATTTGCTCAGGGTCACACAGCTAGTGACTGAGGCAGAATTTGAACTCAGCTCTTTCTGACTCCAGGTTTGTTGCTCTATCCACTGTACTACCTACCTGCTCTGCTTACAATGCCCTGCCACCATCATTACCTTATACCAGATCCTCTTAGCACATTTGGGGGTGAAGGGGCTCAGAACAGTGCCTGTCACCCCTCAGTATTTTATCTGAGAGACTTCGTTCCTTCCTTCTCAACCTAATTTTATCAGTTTTACTGATACAAGTGTCCTTTCCCTGCCCATTTCAGCAAACAAAAATATCCCCACAAGAAGGGGGCAATATCTTGGATACAGATAAGGAATCAGGTTTAGAGAGGTCAAACAACTTGACAATTTGTCCAAGGTCACACAGGGTGTAAATAGCAAAACCAGGATATAAAGCAGCCCCTCTGACTCTTTCCACTCCATTCCACTTTTTGTTTTTAGGTTCTTCCCAAATGTTGCCCTCATATTTCCCCTCAGTTCATTATTCTCATTAAAAAAAAAAAAAGAAAAGAAATCCCCTACATCTTTACAGTCATCTTGGTAGCATCATAGATAGAAGTGCTGGACTTAGAATCAGTAAGATCCAAGTGCAAATCTTGCCTAGACATTTGCTAGCTGTGGCCTGGAGTGAATCACAACCTTCCAGCCTTAGTTTTCTCATCTGTAAAAATGGTAATGCTAATAATATTGCCTCCCTCACAGGGTTGTAGAGATCAAATGAGATGATACTTGCAAATGTGAAAGAACTATATATTAACTCTAACTATGTATTAGCTCTAAGCCACGAGCTATTCTTCTCCCTTTCTCCATTGCAAAGCCACTGTCAGGTAAGAGTCAGAGAATGTTAAGAGTTGGAAGGGGCCTCAGAGGACATCCACTGACACGCTCATTTTACAGGTGAGAACACTGAGGCCCATGTATTTAGGGGCAGAGGTGGGAGTCAAACCCAGGTCCTCTGCCCAAGATTATAGAGAGTTAGTGGTTCTTCCTCCCTTTCACTGAAAATTAAAAATTTATATAAATGGCACAGGTGTATAATTGAATGCACGTTCAAATTTTATGTAGATACACTCACTTCTTGCCCTTCTCAATTCTAGTAAATTTCAGTAAGCATCTCCAGCCAAGAAACATCTCTCCTGACCTGTCTCAACCCACAGGAGGGCCTCCTCCCATGAGAAAAACCCAGGATCACCCCTTGACACGGCTCCCTTCTTTCCCTCCTACTCTCTCTTCTCTCCTTCCTCTTCTCCCCACCCCATAAGCAAAGTCAGGCACCAGAGGAAAGGAGTGTTGTGTTGAAGAGAGGGAGGAAGAGGGAAGGAGAGAAAGACAAAAGGGGGGAGAGGGTGGGAAGAGAAGGGAAGTGAAAAGGAACAGCTCAGTAGCGAGGAAAGAAAAAGAGGAAGGAAGATTCTGGGAGACCTTGCCCCACGCTCACACTGTACCGCGCAGGGGGCAGGATTGAGGCTGGGGACAGCCAAGGACCAGAAGAGTCCCCGGAGGTACCCACGACTGGCTAAAGGCCTGGGCTACTGTAGCTGCAGCCACTGCCCTGGAGTCCACGTGGGTGGCGGCTTCAGCAGCGGCACCGACAAAGGCTGCACAAGCTGGACTGGGAAGTGGAACGTGGTCCTGGGTGGGCACCTCTCCCCCTTCAGACGGGGAAGACAGGACAAGGCAGGGCTAAAGCGCCTCGGCTGCCTGTAGGAGTAAGGAAAGCCAGAGAAGGGCTAGGAAGAGGGGTGGGGGGAGGTGAGAGAGGTCCGCTCTTGTCCCCTTTGCTGACCCGACCCCATGTTTGTGCTCCGGGATTACCGAGCTCTTTGGAAGAAGACAGCGGGGACTGGATCCCCTCTCCTCAGCTGATTCTTACACCTCCATCCTCCCTGCATCTTCCAAATCTAGGACCCAGGAGTCTGAGGGAATGAGGAGATACACAGTGCTGGTCCCTGTTCTCCTAACCTGCTGGTGTCTGCTGCCGGTGTCTGTAAGTAACACTCTTCCCCTGAGGGGGCTTCAGTATTTAGGGGAGTAAGGGGGTGGGGGACTTTGAAATGGCAACATTCTCTCTTCGCTCTACAGCCCTCCCCGCCAAATGCTGGTTCCGCTCGATCAAGCTGTTATCAATTCTCTTACAGAAACCGAAGAGGGGGTGCGCCTACGCTGAGAGTTATCAAAAAAAAGTTTAGAAAAAGGAAAAGCAAACCTATGGGGAGGGTTTGGGGGTCAGATTTCTACGGAAGAGATCTCTGGGGCAGCTGCCCGCCTGCTAGGGTGCTTGGCGGATACCCCAGATCCCCAGCTCCTTTGTGCATTACACATAGTCGATTGCAGGCTGGCTTGCTGTGCTCTTCATGCGTTACCTATCAGATAAACAAGTTCTCCCACGGAGCTCACAGCCTACACAGGCAGATGTTTCGAACTAGAATCGCTCCAATCTGGAGAGATGTTGGAACTCTAGGCTTAGAAAGAACCTTTTCTTCCTTCCCACCAAAGTTCTCCCCCAACATCCTTCCCTTGCTAGAAATGGACTGGTTGTCTATTCTGAACCATTAATAAAATAAATAAATAAAAACAAATCCTGATCCTTTGACTGCAGAAACGTGGCTACTAAATAAAACCCAACCTGGAAGACTGGAGTTGACAATGACTTTTCAGCTTTCAGATGCAGAAATCAGTCTGGGCAGTCTTTAACACAGGTTTCAAACTTCAAAGAGCAGTAGCTTGTATTTGACTGAGTCACTACATATCTATTCTCCCTCTCTAATCCCTATATCCACTCCCACCCCAACCCCTACTCAGTACATACATGCACAATCCAACACTTTTCTGTTCCCAAGAAAGGAGAGGGGAAAGAAACCTCCCGAAGATCCTAAGTAAATTTCTTGTTAAAAAAAAAGTGAAATGAAAATATTTAAACTGCCACAGCATGAAACTCTCCATTTCAAAGCAGAGGGACAAAAAAAAATAAACCAAAGTGTAATGGATAGGTAGTGTCAGTAGAGAGATAAATCAATCTATTCTTGTTTTAGCTTGGACACTTTATTATTCGGAATATGATAATGAAAGGTAATGTGTCACAATGGCTAGAGAGCCTGTTCTTATCAGGAAGACCTGGGTTCGAATCATCTCTTTGACCATACTAGCTATGAGAACAGAAGGCAAGTCATTTATTCTCTCAGCCCCCTGTAAGTCTCTAAAACAAATTGCAATCCAGTTGCTGTGTGCCAGATGAGGAAGGAATTTTCACACAGGTGAAACCACTGTCCAAACAAAATGAAAGTTAAGTCTGAACTGGAACTTCCTAGGTGCATGCCCTACATTCAGAGAGTTGAAAATGTTTATTATGCATAAGCACTGTTATCACTAACATGTTAGATGGAAATTAAGGATTAGAGCAAAATGGCAAAACTCTTTGTCAAAATTAGTCTGTGTCTGAGAACATAATGTAATGTGTTTTCAATGGAATGCAAGAGTCTGGGGAAAGTTGTAATTTCTGAAATATTTCCTATTTTGGGAATCTAGGAAGCTTACCAGAGTTACTAAACTTTATTCTGAGGAGCCTTCTCATCGTATATGAACCCATAACTGACCCATCACTCCCCTCCCTCAGAAGTTGGTAGCTTATAAGTACTGCTGTGGAAGTATTTTGAAATACATGCTTTCTTGGCACTCCAAGGTGCTGCTATTTACTAATGTTACTTTGGTCATACTATTAGTGCATCTGTTACCTGTATCTAAACCATACTGGTCCTCATTCTTAACCATCCTAGCCAATTCTCATTAATGATATACATTTTTTAATCAATAAGGTTTTTCCCCATTTTGATATTTAAGCCTGTGCACAATTACTTATCTCTCAAAAACACAACCTCATTTGCAATTAAGAGTTTTCTCTAATTGTAACTTGTACAACAAAGAGGAAAAAAATAAGACCTGGCTCTTTAAAAAATATGCAAGGTTAAACAAATTCTTTGCCTAACACATCATGTAGTATATATTCTGTGAATGTTCTCTCCTCCAGAAAAAAAAAAAGTCCATACTAGGAACTCCATTCTACCTGTTTCAATGGCACTGAAATTATATGAGTTTATAAAAACAAAAGGAACATGATTCTGTGCTTATTCACTTCCTTAATAAAAATATTCTTTGGCCATACATTCAGCCCCCCAAATCTGAATTCCTTAACTGGTGAAATGCAGCTGAATAAATGGGTGTGGACATTGGAAAAGGGGGAATTGAACCTTCTTATCCAAAAACACAGCTCTGAGAATCAGAGCTACTACATGGATAGTAATATGATCTTCTAAGATATAGAAGGTCCCTTAGTTTTATCTTCCTGTGGAGACAGCTAGCATTTTTGAAATCACTATGCATATAATATATTTAAATCCAGTTACAAAATGGGAAATTATCTTTCTCTTTCTCTGTTTCTCCTCCCTTCCATGCTCTGCTTTAAATTTTAAAGTTAAAGAAGGCACAATCACACATTTTGTGACTCATTTTGAAATCTTCTCTACCCTGGTTTTGCTTAGATTAGTAATAGCTAACTTACAAAAGAGTGGAGAGTGCTTTCAGTGGAAATATGTTAACATATTTGCATCTGGTACACAGTGTCATTAAGTAGTCCCCTATGAATACACACTCGTGTATTTACTTAAATCAACTCATTTACTCTGAAATGTTATGATTTTCTGCACCAAATAGTTGCTCAAGTAAAGCACTCTTGTTATCCTAAGATTAGTGCAAACTCAGTACAACATATCATTTGTTAATATAATTTTCTTTTAAAGGTGAAAGAAGACGATATTCAATTTTGCTTTTTACACTGATATTTTCCAAAAGCAAAAAAGAGAACTTCATTAAACAATAACACCAGAGGGATAAGGTTGATTGATCTTGAATAATATTATTTTGAAACAGTTGAGAAAATCTGGGAGTATGAATTTTTTTTAAGTGCTGATGGGATTAATTTTATTCCAGTGTGGAAGGACTATCACTTCTGAAACCTTCGTTTATATTCTTATAGGTAAATAGCATTCACCCAGAATGCAGATTACACTTGGAAATCCATGAAGAGGAAACCAAATGTATGGCCTTCCTAAGTGCCCAAACAGAATACAAAGGTAAGAGAAAAGGGATCTCTCCTGAAAGACAGAAATGTTGTTTGTTATTGTGTCGGACTCTTAATGACTCCATTTGGGGTTCTCTTGGCAAAGATAGTGGAATTGTTTGCCAATTCCTTCTTCAGTTCATTTTACAGATGAGAAGACTGAGGCAAACAGGATAAGTGACCTGTCCAGGGTCGCACAGCTAGGAGGTGTCTAAGGCTTGACTTGTACTCAGAAAGAAGTCTTCCTGATTGCTGACTCTATCCACTGCACCACCTACCTGCCCTGAAAAAATGAATAAGTATTGCCATGGCCTGAGTATCTCTTAATTCTGTCTCAGTGAAAGTACTATTTAAGACTGCAGCTCTAACTAAAATTTCCTTTTCTCTTTTATGAGCCCCAGGAAAAATAGTGTTAAGAATAGTTTGAGCAGTTTTGACATTTCAGTCAATTAAAAGTAAGCTTTAATCCTCAATAGTAACACAGCTTTGCTGGCTTGCACTGATAGCAACAGTTACTAAAATAATAACATGGTAATTGTTAGAAGATAAAGTAGTCCATGTGTTGCATGAAGGGAAAATGTGTTACATTCCTTGCATTTGGGGTGCTATATTACTTGTTTGTTTTATTTTTAAGTTCAGATAAGTGGAAAGCTTATCAGAATGCAAATAGGGAAAACTGCCTCCGCTAAGGGTAGAATAAATATACCTTTTTGTTGGGTTAAAATTTTTGAGTTCAAACAAATAAAAAAGAATGCTCAGAAAACACAGACACAAATGAGATAGGATCACACAAAATATTTATTAACATCTTGCCTCTGCCACTTACTAGATATGTAACCTTGGGCCAGTCATTTAAACCCTATTAGACCTCAGTTTCCTTATCTGTCAAATGAAAAAGTTCAACTAGATGATCTTCCAGGTTTCTTCCAGCTCTCAATCTATGACTCCAGGACAAAAGTCAGGATTGAATTGGTCATTCTCCCTTGGCTTTGTCCCACCCAGGAGGGTGCTTGAAGGATAACTGATAGATTGCCTATGTGCTTCATAGTTATCTAATGAGGGCCAGGCTAAGCCTATGGGGTGGATCTTTTATAGAGGCTATATGGGAGAATATGGATCTGAGCTCCACAGAATAAGAAAGTGTAAATGGGTTGCAATTTTCCCCCCCTGGAGGGAGTATCACATTAATGAGATAACAGATTTATTGAATCATGTCTATCTGTGCATGTGTGTTTGTATACATATGTGTGTATATCTACATATATATACATATATGTATCAAGTATACATTATATATATACAGACACATATATCTTTATATATATACACATACACACATATATCTTTATATATATACATATATATACACATACACACACATAAATATACACATACACACATATATCTTTATATATATACATATATATACACATACACACACATAAATATATATACACATACACACATATATCTTTATATATACATATATACACATGCACACATTAATATATACACACACACATATATCTTTATATATATACACATACACACATAAATATATATACACATACACACATAAATATATACACACACACACATATATGTATATATATATATATTTAAAATCTTCTAGTACCTGGAAAGATTGGGGTTGTGGGGAGATGAGCCAAAAGAATTGGGAATATTGGGCAGGGAACAAAGGGACTTAGGCACAGAGTGAAAAATAAAATGATCTACTTATTAGAACAGGGCTACAAGGCAGGTATTTTGTCACAAGGAAATAAAAGTTCATTTACTGGAAAGAGGAAACAAATTCAGAGTGGGATACAAAACAAGACTTACTTTATATTGAGTTATGGAAGCAACTGGCATAAAGATCCATATTATTACCAGTATTATCATTATTATTATTATTAACATGCTTTGCAAACTTGAAAGCATTATATATACATATATATCAGTTATTCATATTAAATGACTAGAAATGATTTCATGATAAGCTATGGAACTATTTGCCTAAGCCTTCAAATTATTGTCGTTGTTGCACTTTGCAAACTTGAAAGCACCATGTATCTCATTGAATAATACTATAATTAGTTTTGTTGTTGCTGGTTGTTTTTCAGTCATGTCTGACTCTTCATGACCCCATTTGGAGTTTCTTGGCAAAGATGCTTCAATGGTCTGCCATTTCCGTCTCCAAGTATAATTAATAGTTAGGTTATTATTCATAATAATAACTGAGAAATATAATGCTTTCAAGTTCACAAAGCACTGTATTATATACATTATTTCATCTGAGCCTACCTCATAACAACTCTGTGAGGTAGGTCCTACAGATCTTATTATCTTCATTCACAAATTAGGAAATTGAGGCCCAGAGAGGAAAAGTGACGTCCCTGTTTCAGAAGGAGGATTTGAGTGTAGATCTCAATTCCAAGTCTAGTATTCTGTCCAAGAAAAGATTGATTCCACAGTCTGGGCAGATGTAGACCTAAGACAGATGTGAAGTAGTCCTAGCTGTCTAGGTCAAGAGGATATGGAAGTTAGGAACCAAGAAGGCCCCAGCTCTGTGCAATCTCAGTCGCTAACTACCACATTTCAAAAAGAGACATAATAAATCTGAATAAGAGTCTCAGAGAGGAGCACGAAAATTATTAAGGGAATAGGACAACTGCTATATGCAAACAGATTAAAATCACCTTGTCAAAAATTATCAAGTTCTTATTCTATGTATAGCTAGGTACTAGAGGAGATTCACGTTTTAGATGAGATTCCAATTCTGCCCTCATGGAGCTCACATTCTGGTAGAGATTTAATAATGCTTATATACAAGTGACTATATTCCAAAATAATATAGACATGTATGGGAAGGGTAAAGTGGTGAAGAAAGGTCACTTCCAACTGGAGAACTAGGGAAATGTCCCTGGGGAAGTGTATTTGAGTTGGGCTTTAAAGGATGGGTAAGAATTCAGGGATATTCAAAGAATCATAAAATGGCAGAGGTTGGAGAAACAATCTAGTTCAGCCTTTTCATTTTGCTGAAGAAGAAACAAACATGGCTAGTAAGCGGAAAAGCCAGAATTTTACCTGACTCAAATCCTTTGCTCATAGAGGAGTGGAAAGGGTTGGATTGAGAGAGGCTGGTGAAAGACATTCTAGGCACAGGAAACAACATGAGCAAAGGTACAGGAGCAAGGCAATGCCATGTGTGTATGGAATGTGGGAAGTGGTCTGGTTTGGCTAGAGCAAAGAGTAAATGAAGGGAATGAAAAAGATTAAGATTCTTTAGTTTGGAAAGCAAAAGCCTTCAAAAAACTGTATAATTGGTGTCAGTAATGGTGAATACTGTAAATATAGGCACTGAGCATTCATCATTCCCTGAAGCCTTCTCACCTTGGAACACCCCTCTGCTATGCTGACCCCCTTCTTTCATTGATGAGGTCTTCCTTGAATCTCTATTCTGTAGAGGGTCCTAGCATGAACAACCTTCATTCCTCCCCCAGCCATGCTTCAGACTTCTTGGACTTCAACACAGTGCCCCATACCGGGTACCTTCACACACACACACACACACACACACACACACACACACACACATACACACACAGAGCCCCTATCCCTAATGCTTTTTAGTTCCCTTTTATGTCTTCTCCCATTAGATTGTAAACTCATTGAGGGCAAGAACTGTTTTTTTGCTTGTATTTGTATCCTCAGTGCTTAGCACAGTGCCTGACTAAATCAGTCAGTCAGTCAATAAACATTTATTAAGTTCCTGCTATGTGCCAAGCACTGTGCTAACTGCTAGAGATATTTTTAAAAAAAGACAAAAGACAATCTGCTCTCAAGAAACTCCAAGTCTAGTGATGAAAACCAACATGCAAACTATGCACAAGCAAAACAGGAAAAATTGGAAATAGTTTCCAATTGTAAGGCACTTCACACTAGAATTAATAGGAATCCATTCCTATAATAGGTATGATTTTTAAGGAATCTAGGAAAGCCACAAGATGGAGATGACGAGGTAAAGAGTTCTAGACATGGGAGCCATTCAGGGAAAATAACTAACATTGGGAGATGGTCTATACTATTCCAGGAATAGCAAGGAGGCCAGAGCACTGGATCACAGAGGACACGGTGGAGTATAAAATGTAAAAAGAATGGAAGGCAGGGTTGGGAAGGGAGGGGAAGTTTAAGGAGGGCTTTGAATGCCAAATAAAGAATTTTATATTTGATCCTGGAGGTAAGGGTGAGGCTGCAGTTTACTGAGTGGGGAAGGCAGGGAATGACATGGTCAGACCAGTTCTTTAAGAAAATAAATTTTAGGAGCAGCTAGGTGGCACAGTGGATAGAGCACTGGCCCTGGATTCAGGAGGACTGAGTTCAAATGCAGCCTCAGACATATAACACTTACTAGCTGTGTGATCCTAGGCAAGTCACTTCACCCCATTGCCTAGGCAAAAAAATAAATAAATAAACTTTAAAGTTCAATATAGAATAGACTGGAGTGAAGAGAGACTCATGGCAGGGAGGCCAACCAGACCTGAGGTGATGAGTGATGTCAGAGGAGAGAATGCATAACATATGAGAGAGATGTTATGAAGGTAAAATCTAGAGGCTTTGGCAACAGGTTAGATATGGAGGGAGAGAGAAAGAGATTGAGGAGTTAAGAATGACATCTAAGTTAATAACCTTGCTTTGCCTTGAATATGAACCAAAAGCACTGTTATTTAATGGTACAACACTCTGTAAAAATTAGAATAAATAAAAGGCCACACCATTACTCAAATTATAGAATTGAAATATCGTGTATTCCAACCTGTCACCTGGTTCAGGAACCTGCCTGAATACCTCCAGAAATGCAGTTTACTATGCTCATTCTACTGTTTTTCAGCTTTCACTGTATAAACATTATTTGTTATTTTGAATTCATCTGCCTCCTTTTAATTTACAAACATTGTTTCTAGTTCAGCTTTCTAAAGCGTTAGAGGCCGTGTCTACTACCTCTTCTGAATG